TAGTGGAATGAAACTGCATTCCTCCTGAGACCAGCACACGATGACAGGACAGAATACAAAAAGAAGCCGACACCGGCGCTGCAGAGTATCTGAGGTTAAAAAAAAAAAACATTACCGGCAAAATATCCAGTTTATCCATCCATCCATCCATCCATCCATCCATCTATTGTCTATATCTTATTATATTCTGCTAGATGTGTATATTCTTGTATATATTTATTGTAATTTATTTTTATTATTATTTATTTTATTTGGGGTTTTTTCCTTCTATAGTTATTTTACTTTATTGCTATTCTTTTCCTTGCTCATTCCGAGGGCGGCACCAACAGCCGGAACCAAATTCCATGTATGTTGTGTACATACTTGGCCATTAAAGCTGATTCTGATTCTGACACACCGCTTAATCCTCACTCGGGTCGCGGGCATCCAGTTTATTTATGACCAAGATATTGAAAATGTTGCCCATGTGTGATGATAATCTATCAAACTCCTAATGGCAACAATAAAATGTGCTTTTATTGTCACCAGGCTACTTGTTGCCATGTTTTTATAGTTTCTTTCATGATTAAAAAAACATGTTCTGCAATGCACCCATCATCACTGTGGCCAGAACGCTGCAGAGAACCAGCTCAGGCTGCCTCGTAAAAAACACTTTATATGACAGAAACATGTTTTGACTTTACAGTGACATCATATCCAGCTGTGATGGAGCTCAGGACTGACTGCTGCTGCTGCATTCTGTGAAACCGTGAATGACTTATCAGCTGTGAGGCTGCAGGGCCCCCGACCCAGGCCCCTCCAGAGGTCCCTCTGACAGGAGCTACAAAACAGTGAGAATCTATGAACTATAAAGCACACAACAGAAACATCCCTGCATGCAAAACAGTGAGTGATCAAAGTGGCTTGGTGCTATAGAAAATAAACTAATAAACATAGCTGTTGCTCAGTGGACCCTGTTAGTGACTTAACAGGTCCAAACTAGCTGCTATAAGAGGGGAGGCGCACAGGGGGTTTAGTACATGCACTAAAACTTCAGTCAGCTTTCCTCTGCCGCCCTAAAACTCCCTGTTTAAAAACGAAACAGAGAAAAACGTCCGTCTGAAGTGAAAAACATGACATGTCCCTTTAAATTAGCCTCAGCGTCGGCTCCTCGGCTGGCCCCGCCCACCGCTCCCCCACCGGCCTATCGGCGAGCGGCGCACGTGACGAGCGTTCTTTGCAATGACCTCATCTCTGGTGTGGGATGACGTCAAATTCAAGATGGATGGAATCACGACCAACGCGCAGAAAGCGACACAACACTGAATAAAGTCGTCGCCGCGTGGAGGAGAGGCCGAGCCGACGACGGGCAGGGTAAGTGCGGCCACACGGGCAAAGTTACCGCTGAATGGAGGGGACGGGGAGGGGGACCGGAGTTGGCGGAGCTGTTACGGAGAAGCTTTTTTCCCTTCTCCTCCCTGACGTAACTCGATAGGGGGATTGTGCTGCTGGAAAACCTGACCAGCTCCAACCTGTTTAGCAGCCGCCCGCCGCGTTAGGCCGACGGAGCGGCACCTCCGGCGGCTGGAGCGGAGCGCCGTCCCCGCGGCTCTCTCCCGCCGCACCGACTCTTGTTTTCATTCCGCGGAGTCCATTGAAACGCGCTCAACTTTTCTCCGCTTGGCCGTGACGGAGCCCCCGAACGCTCGAGTCTTTCGCCATTTGCCCCCGCCGAGGAAATATGTTGCCGCGCTGAGAAGTGAAAGCGGCGCTTCGGTTGGAGAAGTTCAGTGAGGAGAGCCCGAGCCACGTCTCAGGATGATCTAATGCCGGCAGTCAGCGTCACTCAGCCTCCTGTGAGGAACCCGACACGACCCATTATTCCCGGTTGTGCCTCTAACGCGACCCACAAGTTTGGACTCCGCCGGGCCACGCTGGGGTTTTTTTTTTAATGAATGAATGAAGCTCGTGGCCGTAAACGTATAGAACAAGTGTGAAGCTGGACGCCGCCAGTCAGCTGCCTTCCAGCCTCACTGTTCACAATAAACGCCACGCAGGGCAACGTGTGAGAAAATACAGATAACACAGGAGTACAAGGCAACTTCTAGGAGATAAGGAGGCAGTTGTTCTGATAAAGCTTCCTCGATTAATCAATTAGACCAATAAAATGGTTGAAAATGTAGATTAGGCTTCACAAAGAAGTCCCCAAATGAAAAATGTCTTATATTGTTCACAACACAAATATTAATATCTGCCACCAAGGAGAGAAGAAACTAGAAGAGCTGGAGTCAGATCATTTAAACTTTATTTTTTGTTAAATTACTCAAACCGGTTCACGGATTATCAAAATAGTTGATCATTTTTATTTACATTCCACCTCTCATCCAAGAGGCTTCATCAGCTCTGACTGACTAGTTGGGAGCTCCAGATATCCTGAAGGAGACATTAACACCTGAGTTTTGGTTTCATTTGGGGCTTTGCTGCTCCTCCCCCTCGTTATGAGTCATTAGTGCTCCCCCTAACACAGTGGGGTTCGTTAGGGTCTTTTGTGGCTAGATGTGGTTTCATCTTCCTGGTCAGAGATCTTAGGACTGAGTTGTAAACAGGTGATGCCTCAGACCTCCACCTCTGTTGAGGGATGGTCTTTCCAGTTAGATGGGTTCTTTCACCCCTCTCTCAAACCATCTGTCCTCCCTGGCCTAAATCTGTACGTTGTTGTCTTCAAATGTGTGTCCTTAAGATGCATCTTAAGGACAAAGGACAACCCCCCAATCGAAACTCAGGTGTTAACGGCTCCTTTAAGGATATCTGGAACTCACAACTCGTCAGTCAGAGCTGATGAAGCCTCTTGGATGAGAGGTGGAACGTCTTCAAGGAACTCAAGCAGCTGCTACGATTAATCCACGAGAATAACCACGACCTGGAGGACTGAGAATCTTCACAGACACAATTAATAGACTAATTGTTGTAACTCTAAATTGTCTATACGTCAGACAGTGATCGCGTTATGTTGAGAACAAACTGAATAAATTGTTGTCTTACTGCTGAATACTGTACATGCAGACTAGTTTATTGTTTAAGTTCCTCTCTGGTTGTTGATTTAACCCCTAAAGACTCATCTCCATGTGTATGAAGTGTTTTTTTCCTGAGAATAATCCTTTCCTGCCTTCGCTGTAACTCTACACCGTCGCTGTCCCTCCACCCAAACGTGCTGCAGCTCGAGCACACCAGCTCACCCAAAACCACACAATGCCAGACAATAGGAAGTATTGACACTGGAGTAATTCAACCAGACGTGTTCGAACCAGAAAGCACTTCTGAAGAAAGATGACATGGAAAGCTGCACCCTCTGAGTCGTGTTTGTTACCCTGGGTTGTCTTTGGTGTATTTCAAGGTAGAAGTGGTCTGCCATGGCTTCCACTGTGAGTCTTACTCGTGGTGGATCTCCCGGCTTATAAAACACACGACGTGAATGTGTTAACGAGGTAAAAGCAGTGTGATTTCCACCAGAGGGGTTCCGAAGCTAATGCACTCTCCCACATCAGTCCCACGTCCCCGAGGGCTCCACAAAATAAAGTAGCACTTCTCTAAATCACTGTCAGCGCAGGCTGGACGTGATGATGTTCATGAAAGTCAGATGAATAGCGGGGCTGCTGCATCAGACCAGCTGTTTGGTGAACACACCAGTACGTCCACTTTATCGCTATACAGCAGGCGAGGATGTTATTATGTGGTAATGGTCACGAATACGGGGTTTCTGCCGGGAAATTGTTTAGCCTGGGCAGTAAACCAGTCAGATCCTGATGGATATCGGCTCGTGTTTGATTTAGCTTGTCGACGGTGGTCGGCCCGAGCCTTCCTGTGTGGAGTTTGCATGTGTGGGTTTTCTCCGGGAGCTCCAGCCTCCTCCCACAGTCCAAAGGCATGATGGCGGATTAGCCGGTGGTTCTAAATTGGCTGTGGGTGTGAGCGTGCGTGGCTGTTTGTATTCGTCTCAGCTCTGTAATGGGCTGGCGACCTGCAGACCCCGTGTTTCGTCCAGTGTCAGCAGGGAACCTCTGCAGGATAAAGCAGCTGTAACTAATGGATGTATAATCGTAGCCAAACTCTGTCAACATGTGGCACTGGCTGCATGAAATCCCACTTGTGCTTCTCTGTTTTTTTTTTTTTTTGAGAGTTAACCTTTTGTGTTATTTAAACAAATGATATGTTTGACGCTGTAAGTGGAGGTGGCCTCATGCGAAGCCTTTACTCTATTTTAAACTTCCTGCATTGGCCTGCGCTGCGGAGGGTGACTTGACAGAGCTGCATTTTCATACCTTCAGACAACTAGCATGATGTAATGCCCATAAACCTGCTGTGTATGTCCTCCTGTATCAGCGTGCACCATTTTGTGATGAATAAAAAGCTGCAACTTTGACCTCTAGTGACCAATACAAATAACTACCAGATAAAACCTGCCACATGAGACACATTCAGCCTGTTGCTTAGGTACTATTAGTGTGGACTTTAATTAAGTCGTCAGTATTTATAATCCAATAAGAAATGCACACAATGAAGTTCGTTTAATTATCAATTACTCTGATGATTATTGTCTTGATAAATCATTTGCTAGGAAAGATCTGACAATACAGGACAATATAATCATTAGGGTTGCAACTAATGATTGTTTTCATTGTCAATTAATCTGTAAATTATTTTTTCAATTAATAAATCAGTTGTTTGGTCTATAAAGTGTTTCCCAAAACCCCAGATGACCTCTTCAAATGTCTTGTTTTGTCCACAACCAAAAACACATTCAGTCTGCTGTCAGCTGATTCTCAAAATAGTCAAGAATTAATTGATTAATCATTGCAGCTCTAGTGATTAAATGTAGGAAGCTGAAGATATTCAGTTTACAGAGATATAAATACAAACTTCACAAAAAAAAATCACAAAATCAGTTATTAAATGTAAAAAAAATAAAATAAATGGTTGCAGATCATTTTCTGTGGATCGACTAATTGAATTAAAGATGTAGTTAGTGTGTCATTACTGAGCCTTAAAACAAGTGTTGGTTTACACATAGCACACAGCAACATGCTCAGTCACCAATGATGAAGTTTCAACTACAATAATCATAAATAAATAAAGATTCTTTTAAACAACAGTTATTTTCACGGCATCCTGTTTCCTCTGTTTACCAGCAGGTTGATGTTAACACCCTGTGGATTATATGAATTTGCAATCAATAGGGATTTCTATTAAATATTATCTCATCTAAATATTAGTAACAAAACGACGACGGTCCTGTTGAACGGTAGTAAAATCAAGTTTATTTACATGAGAGACAACAACCGTGTATTGAGCTTTGTTATAGACTTACATAATTTTATATTTACCATCAGACGTCAACTCAGGTTCATAACAGGGTGACACGTCTCATGTCTGCGCTTCGCTCAGCTATTATTTTGTTTGTGTGCCTGTTTATGCTCATCTGTATGTTTAGTGCACACTTAATCAGCACCTTTTTGTGTCTACGTTCCTGCAGCAAATATAATCTTCTTGTTTTGTCTTTCAGCCATGGAGAGCCTTGTTCATTACAGCAACCCCTCCCATGCCCTCTCAGTGTTGGGGGTTCTGAATGAGCAGCGACTGCGGGGCCAAATGTGTGACGTGGTCCTGGTGGTGGCGGACCAGAGGTACCAGGCCCACAAGAGTGTTCTGGCTGCCAGCAGTGAGTATTTCCAGTCCCTGTTCACACGGATGGACGCAGAGTCACTGAAAGTTGTAAACCTGGACTTCTGTGAGCCCGACGCCTTCGAGATAGTTTTGAATTACATTTACTCCTCCTCACTCTTTGTGGACAAAGGCAGCCTGGCAGCCATTCAAGAGCTGGGCTACAGCCTTGGAATCCCTTTCCTCACCAACATTGTGTCAACAAGGCCACATGCATCCTACTGTGTGTCCAGAAAAAGGCTTTCGTTCTCAGAGGGGGAAGAGAATGATGTCCAGACAAGGAGCGTCATTGTGTGTCGGGTCCGGAATGACACAGCCAATCCCTCTCGCTCAAGTTATCAGAGAAAAACATCAGAGAAATCATCGTCTGTGCACTCTGTCCGAGGGTCAGCTCAGCCGCCGTCAGAACACAACTCGTATGAATCAGTCAGGAACTCTGAATCCAGCAGGAAGTCATCTGAGCAGAGTGACGCCTCTGAGAGGAAGCCCACCTATCCATACAGCCCCATACTAAAAGGAAACTCATCACACATCCCATCTGTTAGGCCCCAGCTGACCTCGTCGGTATCCTTCAGTGATGCTGAAGTTCAGCACATGAGGCTGCAGTCTGGCACTGATCACGACGCAACGGAGGAGAACGAAGAGCAGGAGGCCCGCTATCATACCAAAGTGCCATTTCAGGGTCAGGCCACTGAGCCCAGCCAGACCATCGACAGGAGCGGGCCCCTTATAAAGAGCCTGCTCCGAAGATCTTTGTCCATGGACAGCCCTGTTCCAGTCTTCTCCCCCACGCTGGAGCTCAAGGAGCTGCAAAATCGAGAGCAGTCAGTTGTTAAAATGGCATCAAAAGCATCTGGGCCAGAAACCTCTGCCCACAATGGCAATTCAACTAGAACATCTCCTCTGGTTCTCAGGTCAAAGTACTCCAGCAGGAGGGACGAATCAACTCAGGTAGACCACGAGGTCAGTGTGAAAGCAGAGCCCAGCAGTCCACTCGCTGACCCCATGGACATCATTCGGATCACAGTCGGGGATGCTTTGCCGGTCAGTCTCAAAGACTTGCAGACAAATTATGACCAGGGTTCCAGGGCAGAGTTTAATCCTGTGGGCAAAAGAAAGGACAGGCCAGATAACAGGAGGTATCCATTCAAGAAGAGCAAATTCTTTAAAGAGCATGCCCTGTCGCTGGATGTGAACATGTCAGAAACAGCCACTCAGCATGCCAGCAGTGACCCCAATGAGGACAGCGAGGAGCCAACTCAGAACAAGATTTTCAAATGCTGGAATTGTTTAAAGGTTTTCCGGTCCAGTGCAGGACTTCACCGCCATGTAAATATGTATCACAACCCGGAAAAGCCGTATGCTTGCGACATCTGCCACAAGCGCTTCCATACCAACTTCAAAGTGTGGACACACTGCCAGACTCAGCATGGTGTAGTACAAAACCCAGCATCGTCCTCCAGCTCCTCCATGCTGGACGAGAAATTTCAAAAGAAGTTAATAGATATTGTGCGAGAGAGAGAAATAAAGAAAGCTTTGCTTTGGAAGCTGAAGAGGAATAAGCAGGGTTTACAGTCTCCTGCACTTACCAAAAAGAGATCAAGGCCCAGCTTCATCTGTCCTTATTGTGGGAAAGTGTTTGTATTCCAGTCTCAGTACAGACAGCATTTAAGGACACATCCTGCTGAAAAGGCAGACCAGGACACAGCGAGCGAGGGCATCCTCTACCAGGAACAGGATGAGATCAGTCATCAGAAGAACACTGACCCTGGTGTTTACTCCTGTAGACTCTGTAACATGAAGCTGTCGTCGCTCCTAGAGCAGGGTGACCACGAGAGAGGCTGTCGACATTCGACTGTATGCCCTTACTGCGGCCTCCGATTCTCAAGTCCGGTCGTCAAGAAGGACCACGAGGCGCATTGTAAGTACAAGAAACTGACGTGCCTGGAATGCATGCGGACCTTCAAATCGTCCTTCAGCATATGGCGCCACCAGGTGGAAGTCCACAACCACAACATGATGACTGTTAAAGACCAGATGCACCTGAAGCAGCAAGAAAACAGCGAAGAAACGTCAGACATGCTCAAAGAGGAGCATTACAGCGATGAGCCTCTACCAACTGGGAGTTCTAGAGAGAACATCAGCTACAGCGACTCCTCAGGTCCGCCCATGTACGACTCAGAAGACTCCTCATCCTATGTGCCTGAGGACCTGAGCATGGGTCACCTTGGCAAGCTGGTGGTGAAGGAGGAGCCGTTAGAGGAGGCTGTGAGTGAGAGGGACAACTCAGAGGCAGCCAAAAGTGGGCCCGATGAGGCCGGTGTGTGGCCATGCGAGAAATGCGGAAATCTTTTCAGCTCTCGCAAAGACCTGGAGCGACACCAGGAGCTGCTATGCCACATCAAACCATTCATCTGTCACATCTGCAACAAAGCCTTCAGGACCAACTTCCGCCTTTGGAGCCACTTCCAGTCTCACATGTCGACTGCCGGCGAACCTGGAGCCAAAGAGATCGACAGACACCCGTCTCCTCTGTCTCCCTCTCCTCCTCTGACCCCTCAGACCTCAGAGCGTCCCTCCCCACAGGCCTCGGTGCTCAAAACCACCCAGGCGGCTCCAGTCGCTGCGGCGATGGCCGAGGAGTCCAGCAGCCCGGAGCCCTGCAGCTCCTCGGTGAGCAAGACCAAGAGGCCGGAACTGGAACGGCAAGCCAGCGGCCACAGCCCTCTGTCGAGGTCCAACAGCATGGAGAATCCAGGCGGCTCTCAGGAATCGGACACGCTTTTCTACCATGCACCGTCTCTGTCTGCCCTGACATTTAAGAGGCAGTACATGTGCAAGCTCTGCCACAGGACCTTCAAGACGGCCTTCAGCCTGTGGAGCCACGAGCAGAGTCACAGCCACATGTAGGCGCCGGACAGCCGTGCATCTCTCCGAAGAGACTCTACTTAATATTAGAATAAACACACCTCAGCCTACAAAAGGAAGACTTTGAATGTATAGCTTCTTCGCTTGCCTCCAATGTCATATATTCAAGTGGCCATGTTCATTAGAGGTGTAAATGTGAATGTGCAATCAAGTGCTAGATTCCTCTGTGAGATGAGATGATTATAAATGGGTTCTTCTTTTTTTTTATTATTATTATTTTTCTTTCAAAATGATCTAAAAGATTCGATCTGTTTTAAACCTCTTTTAGTTGTCTTCATGTAATAACTGTGTAGGTGTTTTGAGAGAACACGGTACAGCGTCGCACCCCTCATCACAGGAGGAGGAGGGACGACGACATACGGTATCCTCTCAAAGTGTGAAACCAGTGCTTTAAAAGTTTTGGAGGCTGCAGTTAAGTTAGTGCTTTTTGCTTTTGTATCAGATCTATCTCTTGGTGTGAGTGACATCCCTTAAGGTGATATTGGTGGCCTCAACGACGTATTTAATATGCACTTTGTTTAACAGTTTGATTCCGGTATAGAGAGACGTAGTCCGAGACGTTTGCCTGGAGCGTTTAGCGTAGAGCCCGACCGATACCGGATCTTTAAAGGGGCTGATGCAGATTGTAGGAGAGCTGAAAATCATGATGTTGATATTCTTTATATATCTATACAGTATTTGTTAAAGTTAATAATGAGAAAGGAAAATCATGACATGTTTACTTTCCAGCAACGTATTTCACAAACAGTCGCTCTGCTGGACAGACTTTTCCTGCGTTAGAAAAGAAAAGAACAAAAAGAGATGTTTTTATATTAGTGCTTAGCGGACAACATAAACGCCGATACAGCTTCAACAGGCCAATGATAATCGCAGCCAACCGATATGTCGGTCGGGCTCTAGTTTAGATTTTAATCTGCAGGAGTAAAAATGATAAATAGGCTCAAATATTTATTTTTTTTTAATCATGCTTAGCGTTCCTCAGTTTCTGTTAGTTTTCTTTGAGTCTCATATTGCCTTTGCATCATTTAGTTCCATAATTAAATAAGACCTTCAGTATAACAACACGTGCTGTACATCAAACACACCTCAGATGCCTGTTTGTTTTTAAGCTCAGCGCTTCAGATTTACCGCTCTCAGTCTTCATTCAGTACCCACAGTGTATCTTCCTAATGAGCAGCCAGCGGAGTCGCTTCTACTTGACGGAGACGGTGCAATCATCAGTCATAAGACTCAAAGAAGTTTTGTTTTCTGCAGGGAAATGACTAAGAAATCTAAATGTTGCTGAGCTTTGTTAAAAAAAAAAAGTGCTCAAAGCAGCACTCTGGGAATCACAGCATCTGTCTGAGGAGATAACGAACAAGTGGATTGATTTGATAGCATCCTTCAAGACGAGGTACACTAGACACTCTGGGGGCTCATAGACGGGATGTAAAAGATGGATGTAGCCGCTGTGACGTCATCCGCTGGTCTGGGGACTGCTGTTGTGAACCCTCCTAGTCGCCATCTTGGATCTTTTTAAGAGTCAGAAGGTGGGATTGACTAAACACCAGAGGACACACTGCCCACCCACCCACGTCTGACCAGAACCGTCAACCCACCAGACACACTCACAAACATCATCCAGTTTGACGCCTTCTTCTGATTTAATTTTCAAATTATTTTTCAGATAGACTGAGAGAACATTAATCAGAAGGAGGGAACTCAACAAAACAATCATGACTTGTGGAAAACAGATGTTGACTTAGCTTTTCGTAGTGATGTTTTGAATTCGAGTAGTGCTCTGTGGTGTTAAAGGCACTGCTGCATTGGCTTCACTTGTTAAAGACGGCTGCTACATCCATTTTTTTTTGTTTACACAGTCTTGAGCCATGTCCCAGCCACAGCGTTATTTAATTGGTCACATGTCACGAGTAACAGCCTATGATACTGAAGGATAAACTTTAGAAAGGAGGAGTTATTTACATTTTTAACAGTTTTTTTTAAATTACAAATGTATAGTAAAAAGGCTTCAAATATTGGTTATCAGTCTGCTTTGTTAATAAAAAGTCTGTATCGGCTCTGACACAAACATATCGGTCGACCCCTGATAGTAAATCATGTACATCAGTCACTTCTGGATCCCTGCGGTCTGCCACCAGAACAGCACCGGTGTTCTGTAAACACACCGATGGAGTTTTTTGCAATTCAACACATCTGGTAATTAACCGAGCTTTACAGTGCTTTGATGGCCTTATGCAACTTAAGAAAAAAAAAATATTTTGTCAATATTATTTTACACAAAAAGCACAACAGAGTTTCAGACGACTTATGACTCAGGCATTTCGAGGTGATGAAATCATGAGGAGGGAGAAAACAAATCTTTTATTCTCTGAACGGTGACGGAGTGTTCCTGCTTCCTGAAGATTTATTATATAAAAAAAAAAAGATTGTGTTTTGATTGTATTCCAGTTGTTTTACAATTGTATTCTTGTACAAGTATACTGTATATTTCTGCTTCGGCTTGATGGATTAGAACTTTGTCATAAATTATTTGGATTGCACCTATTTGGGAGGAGTCACAGAGAGCTCCACACGGACTACGGGACTTTGTTTTCCTCTGAGTGGGCGACGTAAGCTGCATCGTGATGTTCGATTCTTTGCAGAAATTCTGTATTGATAATAGTGCTCTTAATTTCTCGTGAGAAAAACTTTATGAAAGTTTCACAGAAATGATTAGACTTGTGTACATGGAAGTGTTTGTATTCTCGATTTTGTACCGATTTTGTTAGTATATATATATATATATATATATATAAAAAAAAGTTTTATCTTTTTAGTATTCCTGTGCTCTCACTGCAATAATTAATACTTGTATCAGCTTTGGTTGCATTATCGTTGCTTTTGGGGACTTGCAGCTGTTTTGTGTTTAGGTTTTTCTACAGTTTTTGTGCTTCATTTCTGTAATAAAGAGTAACAATGGAGTATATATATATAAATATATACAATCATTTGTGCTATTTGAATGATTTAAATTAAGGGGTGAGCTTGATGTAAACATTTAGTCATTTAAAGATGTGATTCTGAAGGAAGAATGTTGATGCTAAGCTAGTTAGCATATTTAGATAGTCAACATATGTGTGGTTTTTATCCCCATCGCTCCCTCTGCTCCTCCCTCTCCTGTTCCCCGTCTTATGAGAACTAACATGTACGTGAGCAGAACATGCTGCAGCAGTGTTGTGTGGATCAGCCACACAGAGAACGGATCACTTGTCGACTGTGAGGAGATGTTTGCTGAATTTGGCAGAAGTGTATTTGAAATAATAATAATGTTTTTGGTCGGCAATCCAAAGAGCATCCAAAGCACTCTAATATGAAATATAAAGAAAAGTTTAACTCGCATTATTTTTTCTTGACAAAAGGTTTACAGATTTAGAATCACTGACTCTACCTTTACCAACAACTTTCACTCGCTGCCGTAGTGCTTTAAACTTTGTCAAGTCAGAAAGCAGTGCTCACGTTGACGAGTGACTGTTGTAGGAAAATAGCTCGTCATTTCCCACAGTCCAGGGGGAAACATTTATAAATCCTGTTCTGTCCAAAGACAAAGAATTTATTTTGGTGTATGACAAGAAAAAAGATCCAGCCATACCGCGTGTGACATCTTTCCATAGAAATCACAGTAATTGTTGATTAAAGCCCCTCTGTGGTTATCGATTTAACATGTAAAAACTCATCCCTGTGTATCAAAGTTACATATTTAGATCTTTTTTTTTCCAGGAAAATAATCCTTTTCTAGCTAAAAATGACTAAGCTGTAACCACGCCGTTGCTTCCTCGACAACATGCTGATCGAGAAGTCACTCGAGCTCACCTATGACTCCGCTTCAGCACCGTGAAACTACTCAACAATAGCAGACTGTCTTACTGAAGTCGCTCAGCCATACATGTTTAAACTGGAAACTGATTCTGGAGAAGAAGAATGATGCAGTAAGTCCCGCCCTGCACGTTGACGGGATCGGTTGTTTAGGTCGTCAAGATGGAAACGCTCAGCTGTGGTACTGACTGCCTGTTTCGCTCATGATATGTTCTCCTGCATGTGAAGACACCATATGATCATGTTACCAAGGTAAAAAGAAAAACTACTTTTTCACTGGAGGAGGTCTTTAGTGTGGAGTCTCCATGAGCAATGTGGGTTCTCCGGCTTCCTCCCACAAGGTCCAGAAACATGCTGAGGTTAATTGGTGATTCCAAATTGTCCTTAGGTGTGAATGTGAGTGTGCTTGAACCTGCCTTCACCCTGAGTCAGCTGGAATAGACTCCACCCCCCCGCGACCCTAGTGAGGATTAAGGTGTAGAGATGATGGATGGATGGATGGAGGTCTTCAGTATTACGTACTGACCGTCTCCATGCTGACCCTTACATACCGAACACTGGTATTTGCTTCCTAGTTCTACTGCATTTTGTACCAAGCGCTCAGATCTTAAAAGTAAAAAATAACCAGGCCCATGTGCAGAAAATGCACACGGACAAGAATTTCATAAAGCACCTCTGTCAAGTTAATTAACACCTTCCGCGAGAATTCTTTATACACTAAAGCTCCCATTAATTGCCAGTTGTCACATCCATCCGTGTAACTGGCGAAGCACACAGCAGTGAGTTTGACATCATGCGTGTGGACCTGAAGCTTTCACACACGTATTGTCTTCCTGTTGGCAGGCGGACAACACCGAGCCAGGGGGGATGTTTTTCTAGCAGCGGGCCACTGTGACAGTTTCTAAGCTGGAAACGAGGGAGTGAACTTAGGAAGTGTTTGCTTTAATTTGGAAAAACGGCAAACTGGAAATCCTGTCCTACCCCGCGTGTAAGGTCACACTCTCCATGAAAGAGGAAGTTTTTACACGGATGAGGAAATCTGTTCCCAAACTCAGCCACGTCTTTTGCATTAAAGTTTGTCTTCTTTGACCCATTAGGACAGGCTTATAAAGGCAGTCTTTTGTTTCAAAAAGCCACGGATCCTGATTAGAATTAATTACAGTAAACGACATTTATTGTCAAAATGTGCAATGATTTACATACGACATTATCAGCAACACAAATTCTGAAATATTCCATTGATATATGTACCTATATCCTACTGTGTTTAAGCTGCGATTCTAGATGGTGGTTGACAATTTGGGAAAAAAATCAAAACATCTTTAAAATAAAGATTAGATAATTGAACATCTTAAGGTACAAGCAATACCAGAACCACAGCAGAGACGTCAGAAAACACACTGAGACTGCTTCGTTGTGGCAGAAGTAGAGCTGACAATCCACGATTTTGGATGTAAAAAAAAAAAAAGCTGTGAAGCATTACAACGGATGGTTATGGATGATCCACATCATCTGTATCTGCTGTCTTGGAGCGTCCTCACAGCGCCAGCGTGTCCTTAATCAGCCTCCTCATGGTGGTGCTCACAGAGGTGCCCAGCGAGTCAGTGATCTGATATGTGATTTTGTAAAGATACGGCTGGACATCTTTGAGACTAGTGTCAAAAACATTGTCCACCTCAGACTGGGTGGGCATCTTTGGCAGGTACTCGTGGCGGTTTATGACCTCCACCACGTTGATCACCTTCTCCCCCAGCTTTTCTCCTACTTTCTCCCTGCAGATCTGTCTCTCCTGCTCATTGGCCAGGTTGACAACATTGACCTTGATGCTCCACACCTCCCAGGGGATGCACTCGTCAGAGAAAGGCCAGCGGGACTTCTTCTTCTGGTAGAACTCCAGGGAGATCTGTCCCATGCCATCGCTGCCAGAGTTGCTCAGAGCATCCTGTGAAACCAAAACAGATGATGCAGCTCAGTCACAATTACAGGCCTGCTCACGCATGGCTGTCAACAATCACACGCTGTAACCAACAATTACCTTGAACTCAGACACAGCTTTCCTGATCACCCTGTCCAGCTCCTCTGAAGACACCCTGACGAAGGTGAAGTCGATGAAGTCACAGTCGAAGTCCAGCGTGCCCACGGTGCCGATGGAGTAGGTGCCCTCCTTTTTGTAGTGAAACTTCCCGGTGCTGCGGTGCAATAAGATGGTGTGCAGCAGAGCCAGCATCGCCTCCTCCACCTGCCTCGCCTCCACCGTCACCTCGAGAACTTCAGAGCGACAATTCATGGCGAAGTTGTGTCCATTTATAAGGGACAATGCGACGAGGGTGACGCTAGCTAGCAGCTCGGTCGCTCGATGACGAAGACACGCTTTGTTTACCTCTCCGGATGGGCGGGGACTATCCAACACCGCCTTTAACTGTCTATTAAAACACAAACTGTTCCGTTTATAAACTTTTATAAAGGGTGGCCCACCTGTACAGGAGTTCAATGTAGTGAGCAAGCGCCTGGCTAGCTGGATGTTTTGCTACAAGAGGATGTTGTAATGATGATAACAGGAGGACAAACTACGGAAAGCCGCGTAGTGCAAAATACCCGCGTTTTCTTTAAATTCGATTTAAAGTTAAACATAATTTCTGTACCGTACCGCAGTAGTATTCTTTATAAAATTACACAAGAAAACCACGTTAAAGCTTTAGTTATAACAGCTCAGATCGCGCAGTCACTCGAGGAAAACAAACGCCGACGCGCGCCGCGGTGCATGCTGGGACTTACAGTTTGTGCCACATATCCGTTTCCAAACGGCAACTTTGTACAGTCGAACCGAGCCGCAGACCGAGTCCAGCGGGAAGGACTGCGCTGTTCGGCTCCAGGATGTGCCACCCGGGACTCTTATTCTCTCTCTGGATACCGTCGGGTGGAGAATAACCGCGGACTTTTGGAAATAAGTGCTTTTTGAGAAACTTTGCCGGTTAACGAGGAATAGCTAGTTACGCGAACCGCGGCGAAGATTAGCCAACTAAGCTAACAGGCATATTCAATGAGAGGAGTGTGCGGCTCTGCATGTTTACTGAAACCTTTAGCTCTTTGACAGTGGTCTAGTTTAACACAGCCAGCTCGTGTAGATTGAGACCTGCTACGTACGGCAGCATGGATACCAATAAGCATAATTCGTGTTGGGGGCGGTTGTCAGTCGTGGGTGCTCGCCTTCATTGATCTTAACAAATAACTGCTATGAGGTCGCCAGGACGTTCCTCCGTGGAGGTGTGCTAAACTGTCATCATCGAATTCACTTGCAAAGAATGTCCGACTCGGAAAGTTCCAGCTCGTATTTTGGTTTGGAGGATCCGCAGTGGCTGTGCATGGTCACACTGTTCGTTGCATCCCTGGTCACCCTGGTGCTGTACTTCGTGCAGTATTTCCAACATGGGATTGTAGGAAACAAGCGGGGAGCAGCAGGAGACAATGCGGCGGCGAAGGAGGAGGAAGCCGCCGCTCTGCTGGGATGGGCGCTGTCACTGAAAAGCTGGAAAAGTCAGTGGAGAGGAGCCTGGTGCAGGGCTTTGAATGACCAGGCGAGGAAGCGAGGGGTGAGTCTCATGATCAGCAGGCCGCCACTGTGCTGAGTGACAGGTGACTTCAATAAAAAAAAAAAAAAAAAGTCCAGCTGTGACTGGGTTACAAAATCCTCATCTAGGATCTCATATATAAAAGAAGACACTTCAATCAAATCTCATCCTGTGCTTTGACACGGGGCTTAATGATTGACATCAGTAGCCCTCCACATGGCACACTCAGCAACCTGAAATGTGCACCTTCTTGCACAACCTCTGCATGTTTTGTCTGTTTCTTGGAATTATCAAGTCAGAACATATGTGTTGACGTTGCCAGTGTGACACAATGCAGCCCACATCGTTTCTCATTAATTGACGGCATCTTTCCAGATCTGCGAGTTGTGCAAAAGGTGATGTTTTAAACTTCCTGCCTTTCTCCCTCACCAGGGTGGTGTTGTGTTGACATTTGAAGAGGATGGCCTGGACGCATCGGAGCTCCTGCTCAGCCAAGTGTCCAGCTTCCAGAAGTCTGCCACCAACAAGGTGCAGTACAGACTGAGTGTTATTCTGAGGTTTCTGTTCCTACAGCACTGTGTGTTTTGTGGTGTCGAGTGATCAATGTATGTGTTTATTCCTGGGAGATAGCTCGATCAGCTCATCCTCTGAAAAGTATTCACCACCGTGGCAGCTTCAGCATTCATCTGAGTTATAGGAGGACACTTTTACAGAAGGGTGTCCCTCTATTTAGTTTCCCCTTCTCAGGTTCAGCATGAAGGGAGTTGCTCAACAACCAGTACTGCATTTCAGCCTGCAGCAGTCAAGCGGTGACTCATCACTTAGCCAAATTCGGTACAGGCATTTCCCCTATTATTTTAAATTTTGCAAATGAATCTACTTAGCATTTGCTCATGACTCCAAGGCACTACGAACGAATACTTTCATGCAGCCTGTGTGCCAACCTGCTGCAGAATGGGTGGAAACTAAGCTGCCATTGGGGGGGCTTTTATTTTTCGGAGGGGTCAGATAGGGACAAATTGCACGCCGTGTTGTTGGCCTGGTCGGCTTTGCAGTGCTTCCAATGCAAAGTCAGCCCTTTCTTTGTGATCATCACGATATGGACCAAAGTACCAGGTGTTCTGTTGTTGAGTGCGGGGAGTTTAATGAACAGAGGCTTATTTTTACCCACATGATGTGTGTGGACGTACGTGCACGCGTGGTGTGCGTGTGTTTTTAAGAAGCTTATATCGCTGTCGAGCTCAGCACTAAGGAGGAGCAGGCAGACGGGAACGCACCAGCACCTACGTTTAGGTTTCCCCTTACAGTGGTCTGATGGCTCGCTGGTCTCAGCGACAGTCACCCTGTGCTTAAATCAGAGCGACTGCACTAAAGAACTGTGTGGCTAATAGGAGGATGCTTTACAGTTGGTGGTAATTTAGTCCATTAAAGTTACACCCTATTGCAGTGAAGGTGATTTGTTGTGTTCACAGAGGGTTGAATATGCTGATGCTGTTTGGAAGCCAGTGCATACAGCGTGCTCTCCTTTTTCAGAGTTCTATATAATGTTGTCCTCAGACAAATATTTTACTTTTGGATCTTTTTTTTTTCTAAAGCCATCGTGTAAACACATCTCTCTTGTTTTATTTCAATATGTTTCTCGCACAAGTTTTGTGTGTGAGGCTGTACACACACAGCGTTATAAATGTATGATCAATGACTTAACAGTTCCTTTCACACATGAATCCACACACAGCACCACCAGTTTCGTATACATTCTAGATTTCCTCCCCATTTGAATCTCATTCAAATGATGTGGCATAACTACGAGTGTTGTCGCCGTCTTAGCTCCTGCATTCTCAGTAGGTTGCACTAATGCCTCGTTTTGTCTTCCCAACAGGCCGCTTGCTGCAGCGTGGTCGGGGAGAAGCTTCAGTTCTCTCTTCATGCAGCTTCGACAGCCATGGCTACAGCAGATCCTTGTAAATACACAGTCTGTATCGCTCCACTGGAGATGCAGGTAAAAGCTCTATATTTGTTTCTGTCTGTCTAAAGTCAATAAACTCCGCTCATTTGTTCTGTAGTGAAATATCCCTCTAAGTCCGAGGCCTCTGAAAGCTGAGTTACATCCTTTGGAAATGATTGTGGTTTAGTTTAATGGGAGATTTTATTAAACACGATGTGCTGCCCAGCATTGACTCTCTGCTGGCAGCAGCAATAGATTAAATGGTTGGGGTATCTTTCTGTGCTTGGCAAATGTCCCACTGATCTCATTAACAACCATGTCAGGCCCATTTCCAGTAAGGCAGGCCTGCTTTGTGTACACTTACATTAGTCAGGGGTCTCCACTAGACTGATGAAGGTTTCAACACAAGTGACTCCTTGTTCTTACCTGGAAATGAGTAATTTATCTTACTCAAAACTGACTATGCTTATCTCCTAAGCTGAATATTTCTATTACTTACTCACTTTCTAACCCTCCTGTTCCGGCTTTACGCTTGGGTGCAGTGTTAAAATAAAGTGGAACCAATATAATGTGCTGGAACATGTAACAGGTAGTTTGCATTAAGCGTTTATGTCCCGAGGTTTAGCATCAAAGCCTCACCGATGTATTGATACAATTGGATGTATAAGCTAACCCAATTGTATTAAGGCTATTTTTAAACCAGTAAGATGCTTGTCACCCCTCTCAGGTCAGTGTGCCATAAATACAACCTGAGTGAGAGGCTAGGGAGCTGAAGTCAGGATTAGAGTCGGGGCGCATTTGTTTTGGTTGTGGATCTGTTGTTGCCGCTGCAGCGACATAAAGGGAGTCCGTGTCTCTGTTTCACTCTCACTGTGTGGGCTTGGTCTGGAAAAGTCAGACGCCCTTTCTAATGTCTCCGTCCATCCACTGGAACGTTTGTTAGCTTTTGACTGAGATTCAAGCTAGAATGCTCCTGGCCCGTCATGCAGTGGGACATGCAGGACAGAAGCCCCGGGCAGTTCCAGTTTATGAGCACAACAATGCAGCCGGTACACTCAGGTGTACTTTGTCTTTGAACTCACGACTGCACCGCATGACCTGTTGCATGTGATAAGGGACGCCCGTGTGACACATGTCATCCTAATGCAATGTTCATCTGTGAAATGCAAACACAACATTTACACATGGTGTGACTTCATGACAGGCTCTCTACTCTTAGTCAGGTGGTGTCTACAATTAAATATTTAAATGGCCAAATGTTCTATTTTCTTATTGTTATTATTATTATTATAACTTCTAGTTCAAGTTGTTTGTATAAACTGATTCAGGCCTTATCAGCATAGACTATAAAGCTCTTTTGGATCCATTTGAGCATTCCTGTTACTATCTGACAAGGCCTTTGTTTGGCATCACAGAGGCGGCTGTTCAGTTGTACACTGGAATCCAGGCATGCTGGGGCAGGATGGCCCAGTGTGCTTTTGTCCCTCTCTTATCTCTGCTCCTCATTAACCTTCTCATTCTCATAATCTAGCCGTTGTACACCTGGCTGGTTTTCCTAAAAAAAACCCTTTTCCTGTGTGTCAACCTAATAACATTTTATTTTTTTATAGAGTAGTGTTGTGTAGAGTTGTATATGGTGACTAAGGGTCAACCAATTAGTTTTTCTCGGGCCTGATACAGATCATTAGTTATCACGGAGACTGATAACTGATTTACTTTTGCAGGAGAAATGAAAATCTTGTTGGAATACCACAAACTCCAACACAAAACTGTGCTGAAATGCCTTTGTCTGTTGATGATCGTTCAGTATTCATATGCTAATAAGCCCACGTGGCACATTTTACGGATACCGGACCAATAATCTGTTGACCCCTAATGGTAGTCACTGCATCAGTGTTATTTTTGAGATAAAAAACAGACACACTTTAAGTCCAGTTTAGTCGACGTTATGATATCCGATGTCCTAAAGCAGCACAGAGCAGCAGATCCAACAATCTACTCTCAGAAATCTTTCCTTACAAATGGTCTCACATCAACTTGTTCACATGAAATCCACTTTGAATCATCCAGATTGGAGCAGAGTGACAGAATGACGTATTCAAAATGTGACAAAGCGTCTCCAGGTTTATTAAACATATTAACACTGCTCGCTGCTTTCAAAGTTAGTCAACAACTGCTCTGAGATGCATTATGTCTGATGTGATGAAAACTATTGCAGTAGTGACAGTTTAACAATTGATGGTCTGGAATCATTTGAGTCATCAAACCGCAGCGCCTGTGATTTATGTCCCACAGTGGTCCTTTGATTTTGTTCTCTCATGACCTAACCGACCAGCCGAGATGCTTTATATTTGGTATAATAACAGCTGATGTCAAGAGAGTCACTTTCATTTTGTCTTGAATTTATCGTGAGTGGAACTGGTGAGCGCCGCTTGTAACACGACTACCACGGCATCATGAGGCGTCTTTCTCTTCCTCAGCTTCATCTACGCATGCAAGAAGCTGAAGATGAGGTCAAGGTGAGCTGGGGCGTGTCCCACCTGGAGACCGGGGAGCTGCAGGTGACGCCCACTTTCACCCAGGTAACTTCAAACTACATTTAATGCAGTTCTGTGATCGTCTGTCCTCATAGAGATTAATTTCAGTTGATTTTCATGTGTTATATCATGTAAATCATTGTAGCATGTCCAAAAGTTTGTAAATGATTTCTAAGATGTCAGGTGACAAAAGTAAAAGCGTTTTTTTTTTCCAGCCCAGTTACAAAAACTCATAAAAATGAATAGAACAGTGAAAGTGAGGCAGATGTTGTTTTACTTCAGGTTTTCCATAAAGGTTATGTTTTCAGTTGGACACAGTGAGATTTTTACTGTGCGTGCAGTTGGTCTGATATCATCATGTGCCCCTATCAGGACAATGCCAACACTTGCAGCGTCGCAGCCATAAAGGAGCAGTTGAGGCAGCTGCTGTGTGCGACTCGTCCCTCTGTGCTACTGAGCTGCAGGCCTGCTCAGGCCTCAGAGGTCAAGGTGAGTGGCTGATGCAAGGCTGTCAGTCCAGCTCAGTGTTTGCAGTGTGGTGCAATTTGACGAGCCAGACTTGAACGTCTACTTGAAGCCTCAGAAGGCAACAAATTAAGATAATAAAGATGCCTTTGTTTTTCTCTCCCTCAGTGGTTATTGCTAAATGCGTGGCAGCCCCAGTAGCTGAACGAGCTTAACGAGAGTCTAGTGGATTCATAATTGCAGCATTGGATCATGGTCACCTAAACCCTGCCCTACAAATTGAATTTAGAAGAGTTTATTGTGCTCACATGCATTCCTAAAAAGGTTTTTTACTGGAGCGCTCTTTGCTCAGCCGTCACGTGATGTCACGCCACGTGTTTCTGATTAGATCTGGTGTTATACGTTCACATTTATGGCAAATGTTTAAAATCGCAGCATGACATGAACATAGTCCTGTAGTCAGTGGGACTTAGGTCTCAGGTTACATCAGTTTCTTAGCACACTATTTGCTTGCCTGCTTAAATGTGAACATTGCAGGTCAACGGGGCCCAAAGCTATCTCCTAAACTCTCATGTTTTCCAAATGACTTGCCCGATATGAAATGGAAAATAGTCAAGTCACCCATTTGAAAAGCAGTAGCCATCAAGTGTTGAATAATTGATTTGTTGTTTCTGCTTTTTAGCTAATTGCTGCGCTATCAGCTGAGGTTATCCTACTGAATTAGCATTGATGCCGCGTACCGGATGATCTCAGTCAGCCAAGTTCTGACAAAGCCTCGATGAGAATCGGCTGACTGAGTGAAAAAATCAGCCTGTGATGCAGTTACAAGTTCTTCATGCTCCGAGTTAATCAAATACGTGTTAATGTTTATAAAAAGCAAATCAAATAACTCGCTGTTGTAAACAAATTCTCCAAAAATGCAAACTCTAAACCACTTTCAGGTATTTCTAATGCAAATTCTCTATGGTCATAATAAGTCCAATGCAAATTATGGACGAGAGAACCTTCTCTCAACGTGGATGTTTTGCATGGAGTCCTCCAATCGTGTTCAGACTACGTAGCTTTTCTCTAGAATTTAGGAGCATACTGCAGCCGCCTTTGTAGTTTGACTGAAGGTCTTCTTTCAGACCTAATTCTGAAAGGCTTTTGATCATCCTTACAATGGTGCCATTACAGCATTGTGGTAGTTCTACCTGGATATGACTACTTTGCCTACATCGGTGCACATATATTGTAATCAGAGGATGAATATTTCTGAGGTTTTGACTTATGCACGGTGTGTTTTCTCCAATAGGAAGCCCACAACAAAGTGGCATCGCCCCCAAAGCCCCCCCGCGCCCACGACTGGAAGCTGCTAGTGAAAAACATCCGGGTCACACTCAATCAGGAGGAAGATGCTGCAGGTTGGTTGCAGATTCTGATGAAATCGCTCTACATGTGTCTTTATTCTTCACAAAACCAGGCTTTTGAAGGACTGCAGCTACATCGCAGAGCCGTAAATCTAATGATTTTAAGGGCGTGTATAGATTTTACAGCTAATTCTGCATGTTTTCAGAGTTTGCTGTCTTCCTGGTGCACTTAAGTCAAGATGTAATGAAAGTTAAAGGCAGAAAGACAGAGGCCTCTGGTTAGACGGTGGTGTCCCTCAGCTTTAGCAGCAGCACTGTCAGCAGGGTCAGTAATAACTGACTAATAAGGGGAAGCTGATAGAATAATTACGAGCTGCAGTGACTTATCTGCATACAAGCCATATAAACTTCATCCATCAGCCGATATCCAAACAAATCTCATTTACTGGAGGTCCGGAGGAGTGTGCTACGAAGCCAGATTAATGAGTTGTGGAGGTACGGTGATCCTCGTCTGTACTGCAGAGTGGTCTGGCTAGCGTATCGGGTATGATAGAGATCACTGTGTTCATCTCCACGGGAACTTGCGTGTATTCAGTCGATGATGCAGAAAATGCAAAGTGTGGTTTTTATGTTTGGTCCTGATTTGCTGCCAAGTCTCACACTGATGGCTCTGCAGCGAACGGAACATAGATTAGAAACTTGATTAGTGTATAGCAGAATATCCAATGAGTAATTTCTCTTTGATTTGGCCAAATACTGAAGTGATTTCCTTCATCATAGGGCAGCGTCAGACCCGAAGCAAATGAATAAAGTTTAACAGCGCTAACGTGCAGCTGTCATGTTGGAAATAAGTGGCTGAACTGAGAGTGCGTTAAGTGGTAAAGTACATGTACGTTAACTTACACCAACAACAATTTTCTACTAGCATTCCTCTCTTGTAGTCAGGGTGCATTTTTCTGTAATGTGTTTCTGAGGATTCTCAGTCATCCAGGTCCTGGTTATTCTCGTGGATTAATCGTAGCAACTGGACTCACTTGAGTTCCTTGAAGACGTTTCACCTCTCATCCAAGAGGCTTCATCAGCTCTGACTGACTAGTTGGGAGTTCCAGATACTGATATCCTTAAGAAGCCATTAGCACCTGAGTTTCGGTTTCAATTGGGGGTTTGTTGCTCCCCCTGCCCCAGTGGGGTTCGTTAGGGTCTTTGTGTCTAGGTGTGGATGTGGTTTCATCTTCCTGGGGAGAGATTTTAGGACTGAGTTGAATTCTACTGTAGTAAATGTTTATATTCTTCATAACTCTTCATTCAAACAACCTGTTCCTCTTGACTGAACGAGGCAGCATGCCGTCAGTTTATTTTGTGTTGAAGAAGAGTGACATTGACAGGAAATTGCACATTATTATGATGCGTCTCATTAGCTCTGATTGACTGGTTTTAGGTTTTGTCAACCAGCTAAGTCAAAAAGAAGCCTGCCAGTGTCAGACTTGGCTCATAGTGCAGGGCTCAGTCAATCAAGAAGAACCTCGATCTCTGACGTACTATTGAATTAGTTGTTGTTGTTTTTTTTAAGTGACTTATTTAGGCTGAAATGTCCTGAACGTAGCAGGAGATGCATTAGATTGTTCTGTACGACCAAATGACCGTCTGATTGCTTCTTGGCTGGACTCGGAGTCTCCGCCGGCTGCGTACAACTTCACAGTGACACCAGAACTTCTTTTAAGGTTCTTTTGTTTGTCTATAAATGTATCCATTTGTCTGTAAAGCCAGGCATGGGTTGATACCTGGGTACATCTCAGAGCTTCTCTACCTCCAGGCCTCTTGTACCCCTTTTCTACCAAACCGGTTCCAGCGCTAGCTCCGTGCTAGTGCCTGACTTAGCTCCAGTTCTTTGTGTTTCCACCGCCTAAGCACCGGCTCCAGGCTCTCAAAGCACCAACTCTCTGCTGGGCCAGAGCTAAGCACCGAGTACATCTGGGGCGGGGGGCGGGGTTATCGTGACCACCGAGACCGATGGATGAACAGGACACACAAGCGGTGATCTGTGTCGTCTTTCGCCCGGATGTCTCTGGTCTGATCATGAGTCCCGGGACACACAGAAGATTTGCACACACTGTTGCACGCTGAAAGCCGGTGTAACTGCCACCAGCAGCACCACAGTGATGGAAAAACCTCCAAACAGCTGCTGTTAGAGCTCACTGTTTCACCGCCGAGGCAGGTGGGAGGCTGTGCTGCTGCAGTAGAAAAGCCTTCCTCCGTTAATCAGATGTCTCTCCTCCTTTGACATTTTTAAAAATATAAAAATCTCATTTAGTGTTTGATAATTCAGATTTTTCCAGTTGTTATTCTGTTTCCTGTCTTGTGTTTTTTTGCACATATTTTTGTTGTTGCCTTCCTTAGAACCTGTTCGACACGTTGATCAACTCAGGTTGTTTTAAATTGACTGTATAAATACATTTGATTTGATTTGCAAGAAAAATTGGTTTTTTTTCCCCAGGTTAACAAATAAGTCTGATGTTGGTCAAAAGCAGCGGGACTGTTTGTCAGCCTGGTTGCTCATTTACTTCTCTAAGGCGGACTGTGTGCATCCTCTCCTGATAATCTGCTGCTCAGAGCTAAACAATGCCGACAGTGTATTAATAATCCACGTACATCCGTATCGCCACACCCAGCGTGGTGCTACAGACGTGCACATAAGTACGATTCCCTTGTGATCAGAGGGACGGCAGCACAGCCGGGTGTTTTGAGGACGGTGGATATTCTGAGTTGATGAGAGGTTGTTAAAATGATGAGACCTTAACATCACCCACAACCACCGTGTTTGGGTGTTTTCTGTGATGAGTCATTCTCTACTTGTGAGTCAGCAGACTCCTGACATCCTCTTAAGCATTCTGCCTAACACTTAATGCTGCACAGCAGAGACATGACACAGCATTCGACACAACACTATATATTTTCCTGCTGTTAAGTGAAGAACAGCTTGTCTCTGCTTCGCTTTACTTGTGAGACCTCCTGTGGGCTTGAAGGCAGATCCGGAGCTGCTGCAGTGGATGTTCTGTCTGCGAGGTTCTTGCTGATCCTGTATTCATTACCACACAGCGTCTGGCTTGTTTCTACTACTTGCTCTGTGCCGGGGTAGACCGGTGCTTTCTTAGTCTCCTCTAACCCATGCATAATTCATCTTGTATACAATATACGCTGACTTCCCCGTTGTCCATTAGAGTGAAGCCGTGGAAGTGACTGTAGCTAAATTTTTATCTTGCAGCAGCACATTTTATGTGATGGTCTGTCTGAAGATTTTTTGAATGAGTCTGCATTCAGCTCCTGTTGTTTTGTTTCCTGTGACACTGACTGAGATGCTTTGTGCTGTGTTTGTAGGCAGCATGAATCCTCTGTGTGTCCTGCAGTTAGATGATCCTCCACAGAGGTTTAACACCTCTGTTTTAAAGAACACAACTAATCCTGCCTGGGACCAGCCGTTTATCTTGTAAGTTTAATCTGAGATACCATCACTGTCCTCGCAGACATGACCTTTGTTTTTTTTTAAATTACATAATGCAGAATTATGTTCAATGTGTATGTTGTTTTTTTTTGTCTCACCAGTGAACTGAATGGACGATCAAAGGAGCTCAATATTCAGTTGGTGAATGATGGACAACCTCAAGAGAGTAAGGACACATCCAGCATGTCACTGGGTGCCTCTTAATATTTGTGTTGTATTCGCTGTAATGAAGAGTTGTTCTTGTTCCCAAGCTGTGACTGTCACATGCTCTGGTCCTACCAGACTAAATCAGTTATTCTTTTTCTTTCTCAGATTCCTCACTAGGTCAGGTTTCAGTGCCTTTTGATCTTGTAAAGAAGCAGCCCAAAGGACAGCAAACATTTGCACTCATGACCAAAGACACAGTGACGGGATCACTTACTACTGACGTAAGGGCATCACCCAGTGCACTCTGGGATGTTCTCATGTTTGCCTTTAATATCAGCAGATCTGGTTGATTTACTGATTTGTGTATTTGGGGTTTTTATTCACACAAAGTTAGACAATAACATGAGTTGTATGTTTCAGTTTACCTACCTGGAGCCCAGTGAGGTGAGGTCCTGGCACCCTCCGACCCCAGCCTCCAACAAGAGGGTGGAGATGGACCGTACAGTCATGCCCTGTGGCACCGTGGTCACCACCATCACAGCGGTGAAGAGCAAGCCGGGTCGACCACTCCCGCTGAGCATAGGTACAGCACTGGAACCCGACTCTGATTCTGTCCCAGTGTGTCAGTGGTGCTGAGAGCTCAACACACTGAGCAAGCATGAAGAAATCATTTTCACCGATCTGAAATCACAGCATTCAGAAACAAAACCGTGAAAATGCAGAGAACAAGCTGCAAATAGCACACAGGCTCCAGTGAAAACGGATACGATGCAGCGGAGTTTCCAGGGGGCACAAAGACGAGAAGGACAAGCTTGTTGTTGCAGCGGTGACTCATGAAGCTGCTGCTGAAGTCGACGATCTGCCTGTTTAGTTAGAAAATGAGCCGGTGTTTGTTTTAACAGTCGAGCTGCATTATTCCTACATCTGTCTGTTGCTCTGCCCTGATTCAACCCAAACGCTCTGTACTACACTACATGTGTATATATCAGAGTGTTCGTCTTGGTGTGATGACATTTAAACCCTGAAAAACACAGACTCAGCCCTCCTCAGTCAACCTGCACGGTGGGAGATTCTGGATCAGAATCAGTTTCTGGGTTGAACGTGTACGACTGAATCACTCCAATATTAACACTTACCGTAGAGTAGAGTGGCGTTACAGGGTTTGATGAGAGTCATAGGTGAGCTGGTGTGCCTGAGCTGTACTGAGTGGAGAGAAATGTGGGGACGTTCCCAGAGAAAGCAAAAATGTAGAGTTACATCGAAGCCATTTTGATACAAGGAAATGGGTTTTTAGAGGTTTAATCAACAACTAGAGAGGGACCAAAAATCAAACATTAGCTGTTTTAGATGCCAGTTAGTAGATCATAGCTAACCTCTGTTATTTCCCCAATGCACAATATCCAAAAATGAGCGCTCTGAACTTCTGGTGCATGCCCTTGAAGTGGTCTAATGAGACACCTTTGTGCTTCCTCAGATCCTGCCCAGAAAGCGGTGGTCAACAAGCCCAAGCTTGCAGAGCGTCGCGTTTCAGAGCAGGTGTCTATGCTGGGAGGAACCGTCAGCAAGGCCCTGTCCTCCTCCGACACTGAGCTGCTGATGCTCAATGGAACGGACCCAGTGGCTGAAGCAGCAATCAGACAACTCCACCAGTCTGCCAAGCAGAAGCTCAAGTCCCCAGTGAAGAAGAGCACCATCATCATCTCAGGCATCGCCAAAGTAAGGAGGAGCCGCACCACAGGGAGTTTTAGTGATGCGTCATGCTGTTTGTTTCACTTTCACTATTTCACATCAGTACAACAGTTTCATTTACTTCAAACAATGGGGCCTAGAGAAGCCCAGGTGTGGCTGGTCTCAAGTTTCCACAGCTTCCTCCAACACGTTACAACCTGTTGTGTTCCTTAAGCTGTGGTTTATCACTACAGAGGAGAGAAAGAGATCTCAAATCAAAGTGCATGCCATGTTTGAAGCAGGAAGAGAGTCTTTATGTATTGAACAGTTTCCATAATCACATTGCCAAAGGAAATATGACTTTAATAGTAATTGATTTTTTAAAATGGGAATATGCTTCATTTCCCAGACGCCGCTGTCTCAGGATGACGAGCTGGCTCTGATGGCAGGCTACGCTGCAGCGATGGATGCCTCCATGTCAGAGGGCAGCTCTACTCAGGATGTGACCACAGCGATTGCATCAGGGACCAGCAGCCTGCCGGAGGTGTCCGAGCCCCAGGAGGGCCCCAGTGGAATAGGCCGGCCTCCAGACGACTGGGAGAGCCACGCCGGAGAGGAACTAGACCATACCTCGCTTTCCATGTGTGTGTCTGAGGCGAGCTGCAAGAAGAGCCGAGGTGAGAGGTCCCAGAGGAGACTCCTGGCTCCACGAACACGCTGCTGGTCTTTATAGGAGTAATGTTTTATAACTTACTTTACATCAAAGCATTAAGAAGTTGATCAGTTTTCTCTGTCAGCCACGTCATGCTCCTCAGTGACGCAGTCTGTTTTTGTCTTCTTTCTTTCTCTCTTTCCTTTTTGAACTGTCACCACTGCCACCTTAGAGGAAAGCAGTGATAAGCTCACATTATGTCCTGATGAGTAAGTTGCTTCCTGAGCTACCTGTAGTAACCCTGGTACTCTAGCAGTAGAGTAGATAACACTGTTTCTGTCAAATTCAGCCTTTAGGTTCTTAAATCACTTGTAGATATTAGTGTCTTTAATGTAGAATGTAGTGGGGCTGCACAGTATGGACCAGCTGCTGTGAGTATTGTGGTATACTCACTCGTAGTGTGACATGTTGCACTAGGACTTGTGATGTGCAGTAAAATATTGCACGCATAATGAAAAACTGAGCGTTCGTACTGCAATAGCAGCAGAAACGGTTTGCTGTGCAGTATGTTGTTCGGCCTTTTCTGTAGGAATGTGCTGCGTATTGACGATACCTGTGTCTCTTTCTTCATTTGTCATTCATTCATTTTGATAACATCTTCATTTGCATTGTTTAATATTGACTAAGCTAACCCTCAGATAGTGAGGATAACCCAGATACCTGCTGAAAGTGCAGCTGGTATGTGTTAGCAGGTGATTAAAAGCTATTTAACTCCATTAGTTTTACGATGCAGAGCTGGACAGACCTGTTGAACAGAGGAGAGACTAATAGTGGAAGGTATAATTGATAGCCTGTTTTTGTATTTCTGTACTCGTGACAACAGTGGTTCGTGTTACTCTCATGAATGTGATATCTCAGGAACGCTCGCAGGGAATTTATTGTTTGGCAGAAACAGAAAACTTGAAGGATTAACAGATTAACACAGATCAAAGCCTCTGAGATAGATAGATAGATAGATAGATAGATAGATAGATAGATAGATAGATGGCACAGTGACATTTTATACCCAAACTAACTCAAATTCTGTGCCACAGCTGTCTTCAGATTGCTGCTCAAAGGAATAATAAACTTTTTTTTCTCATTTCTTTGTCTTGCGTGGTGTCATCTCAACCTCATCCTTCACTCAGATGATATTAAAGACGACTTCCTCTCCTTTTTCTTTGCTACAGGCAGCTTCCTGCAGAAGAGTGCCAAGCTCTTCTTCCGGCGGCGTCACCAGCGCAAAGACCCGGGGATGAGCCAGTCCCACAATGACCTGGTGTACCTGGAGTCTCCAGCCGCAGTGGAGCGAGCCAGCCGAACAGCCACGCTTAGCCGCATGCTCAACCGCAAGAGTAAGAATAAGAGCAAAGCCAACGGCTCTACCTCCACGGGGGAGCCACACGCGTGACCTCCCCGTCCACCGAGCCCTCCACCTCAGTCCCTCCCACAACAGCTACCATCATCACCTCCACCTTAAAAGATGCACTGGCTAACATCCTGGCTATTCTGCTCCCGCTAATGCCCGACCTGCACACCAGGGCTCCTGCATTGTGAATGGGAAGGCAGTGCAGGTGGAAAAATACCTTCTTTTACAGCCGTATCCTGCTTCAGTGCTTCTTAGAGGAAGCAGACATTCCATTAAAAGTGTGTGCACGTGTGGATGAAGGTATCCTGTCCTGGATTGATGGCATTTTAGAAGATATTATTTTTTGCATGTTTCTTTTATTTGATTTTATGCAACATTTTGAAATCTTTAAGTGCTTTTATGGCCTCATGACGGACCAAAGGGACTGGTATGGGCCGCCGCTTTACCTCACCGACGCTGAGGGCGAAGAGAAAACTCTCCCTGCTGTAAACCGTGCGCTTTCTGCGGTGGATCAACAGGACCAAAGATGAAGAGCAGAGTGGCGTTTGTATGATTTGCACAACTCTAGTAACCTTTGACTTCAAGTGCAATGACAGGAGCTCCTCTCACGATAGAGACTCTTCTGTAGTTCTTCATGTTGAACACAAACATTCACAAAGGGAGACCGTCTTTTCACTGCACCAGTGGGAGAATAATACGACTACTTTTTGACACTAATGTTATGAGATAATTTGTTTTAAATTTGTCTAAATTGATCCCAAATAAAACTAGTATGTACCGTGCATATAAAAGCTGTTAAACTGAGCTATCCGAAACTTACGCCTAACAAAGATAGCAAGTTGTTTCAGGTTAGCTGTTGGCACGCACAGAGGTCACGTTATCGTCCGGCTATTTAAATAAGGCAACACCCTTCTAAACATACAGCAGGGCATTTGTGCTTTTTGCAGTGTTCTCGAATGATATGCAACTTTCTCCTTTGTCTTCCTGAGAGATTCCTCCTGTACACTACTGTTATCAGCAGGGTGGTCGACGTGTCAAAAGGGAACCGAACGAACCATTTATCCAGGGACTGTGACGCTACGCTCGGCCGCATCCATGAAACCTGTTCGACGCTCACTTCAGTCCACATCTGAATGGAACAAACCGTTCTTTCTGTCATTTATTGTTTTGTTGTTTTTTTTTTTAAACCGTGTAGCTTTGAACAAAACGTGTGAACACCTTTGGGAGCAACCAAACTGGCTGCTTGTTTTTTTTTTTTTTTATCCAGCTAATGATTGTATTTTTTTGTGAGCAGCTTGTTTCTGTACTTCATGTTAACTACTGTTCATCAATAAGTTATTCTGCTCAGATGCAGCGCGGTGACAGCCAACAGATTGCCTTACAGTCATTCTGAGGACGATGTCGCAGCTGCTCAAGACTTTTTTTTTGTTTTTTCTCCTCAACTTGACGGGACTTTCAGGTCCAGAGGCTGCATCTGTTATCAGACAGAGGACTGAGAGCCTGGAGTGAACTGTTGGAATGGCTCTGATAGACGAGCGTACCACTGTGCTCCTGCACCATCAGCAACGTCTATAATCCAGAAGCCTATGCACATAACATATCTGTTAACCGAGTGTTTACATTATTAGACTATCTGAGAATTAAAAACACTCACTCGTGACAACACTCTTGTGCAGATGCAGTGTGGGTGTCTTTGTGTCTCGGTGTTCATCCACCATCACTGTCTGTTTAACAAAAAAAAAGGCCAGATCGAGGCAGAAGAAAACGCTTCAATCACTCAGACAGGAACGGAGAGGAACACGGGGCGTTTAAATCGGCTTCCGAGCCCTCAGAGCAGCCTGCGAGCATCAGCTACTCATGTGCGTTTAGTTAGCAGTAGGGCCGTATGTGAATAATAAACTGCTTCCTGATGTTCTTTTAATGGCATCCGCTCTGTTTGTGCACAGCGACTTGCTGACTGGCTCGAACGTCAGTCACATCCCTGCAGGGACTGTAACTAATCTACATATCGAGGTATTTCATTTTCAGCAATAAATATCGATTGAATAACTGAGACTGTGGTGACACTTTGAATGTCGAGGCTCTCGTTAAACCTCCCCAGCGCTCGTATATCCTGTAAGTCCGTGAATATACTGGTTCACTTTGTTTAATTTTACAGACGCTTTTATACATGAGAAGACATCCGCAGTGGAAACATCTAGTTAATGTTTGAGGTGCCTGTGCTTTATTTGCTGCTTCATATGACAGCACCACATTTCAGAGGGAGTTATTGTGCTTTTAACTTCACCAGTTTATCTTGAAAGCTACAGCTAGTGCTTATTGTTGCTGTGACAAGACATAATCAGCTTCTACATAAATCTCGATGCACCGTGGCTGTGGCGTAGATTTCACTTTAGCACTGTGAAGGCAGCAATCTGGATGCTTACCGCCCAGGAACACTTTGTTTTCTGTGTTCTGGTGAATTTTTATGCACCAATTTGTTCCTTTTCTGCATCAGTTTATGGTGTAGAATTCAGAATACACGTCCATCCACCCATCCATCTCTACACCACTTAATCCTCACTAGGGTCATGGGGGGCTGGAGTCTCTCCCAGCTGACTCAGGGTGAAGGCAGGTTCACCTGGACAGGTAACCAGTCTATCACAGGGCTACACTTAGAGACAGACAACCAAGCACACTCACATTCACACCTATGGACAATTTACAATCACCAATTAACCTCAGCATGTTTCTGGACTGTGGGAGGAAGCCGGAGAACCCGGAGAGAACCCACGCTGCACGGGGAGAACATGGAGACTCCACGCAGAAAGATGACGCGAACCAGTGACCTTCTTGTTGTGAGGCAACGGTGCTAACCACTGCTCCACCGTGCAACCCCAATCCAAAATATAACAGAATATAATGCAGTAAGACTGTGATGCATTCTGTATTGCTTTCAAACAGGATTTACAGCAAGATTTCATCACGTTTTAAACTTTCTGCACATTCAGAACGTGTTTAATGTGCTGGAGAAGAAGAGCTGCCCCAGTCTGATGCATTCTTGTGTAAGCTTAATAGATTTTAATACAGTCCTCAGCTTCTTTCAGGTTTTTATTAGGGGAGGACAAATACACGTGTTCTAAATACTGAATGGGATGTATCCCCTGTGTGAGTGAGAGAAAACTCCCTCTGGTGAGTCATTCTGCTCTCAAACCTGGTCATCAGTGCAACATTTGTTTTATTATAAACCGTTTTAAAGAGAGATCTACCGTCTACCAGAGTGCACGAAATATTTCTGCATTTTGTCAATGAAAACGAACATGTTGAGAGTTTTCTAAAAAACCTTTTCACTCATCAGACTTGTTTTAAACAAGTTTATTTAAATGAAAGATGAAGCCTCAGTTGAACCTTCTTTCATTTATTGTTAAAACACTATTTGACTGATATTCTTCATTATACACAAAATCTAAACCACCAATGAAGGTATTTTCTCTCCAGTCTGATGACTGAGCTGTAGGATCATGTAAGCTTTCCATGAATGAGTTTTTCATATCACTGTTTTTTTTTTTTTTTTACTCTCATCGACCTGGAGAGACTTTCAGCCGATATAATAATAAAAATCTGTCTATTTGTTCAGCACAGATACATTCAACTACCTCAAGATAATGTTACCTAGCAACCTAAGCTAGCTATCTAAACAGTCACTGATGCTTTCTTTGTGACATTTAGGTGTAACGTGTAGATTTTAGGGAAGATGCAGGGGGTTTGTAATCTAATTTTAACAAACATAGTAGATTTGATCAGTGTTTTAATCAGTTGTGGTCAAATGTGCTGCATTCTTGTTGTTAGTCATCTGCAGTAACATAATTAATACGCTCCCAACATCATAGATACTTGGGGCATGTTTTGAATCAGCAGAAAGTTTTTAGCATGAACAGAAATAATGCTGAAGCACATATGACTTGAGGTTGAGATGAGGTTTATAGATGAGTAAAAAATAAGTGAATTGACAAGAAAATGTGCCACATGCACATTTAGAGGTTAAACTTCCCATGCAAAGACACAAAGAGGACATTTTAATAAAGAGTAAATCGTGCCTGTATGTGTGTCGCTGCAGCAGGAAAAATATGAAACAAGAGAAGCTGATCTGCAGGAGAAAAAAATAATTGATGCCTGTGAGCTTTACTGCTTTATATTCCATTATATTTGAATTGTCATCTGTTTCTTAAAAATTGCCTTTTTAAAAACAGAAATAAAAACACTTACACCATAAATTGATGCAAAAAAGCCAAAATGCAGATAATGAAGTGTTTAATATTTAGATTTCCAAGGGAAGGACAAATGAAATGTTCACCCAGCCAGCAAAAAAAAAAAAAAAACGATGGAGTTGGCTGGCAGTGATGGCCAAGTGTCAAAAAAAGGCAGCAATGACATAAATCACTTGTACTAGTCTGGCTATATGGAACATGATGACAAATCCTACTGGACCGGCCCCCTCCATCCCCAGGCCCCAGTCGCCTAACAACAGATTTAACTACAGAAAACACTTCGATAAAAATCAGTTAGACTCAGCTGCTTACACAAAAATAATCATATAATGTAAAAAGCACCATCAATGCAGGCTATTTGACGTGCTGAGAACTTTATTTAAATGTAGTTTAATACTTTAATAATCATTCAAAACCTTTTATTAATTCTTTTTTATTTCTACATTGTGGACTAAAAGTATTGACAATATGACTGTAGTTTTAGTAAATTAAGATACTGAGTGCAATTTAACTTGGAGTAGAGTACATTTACATGTCATTGTTGCATAATTAATTAGTTTTCAGTGAATACATTTTGCACAACAATGATGTAAACAAAGGGCCTTACAGAGCCGTTGGAAATAATTTCTCCTTCTACTAAACAAATAACATGTAAATGTGGTTTAATGCTAAATAATAAAACAACGTTTTAATATTTCAGTAGTTTAATTTATGTATTTTACTCCGTGGATGAGCGTCCAGCCTCTAATTGGCTAATTAATGCCCCATTGAGTCGCTTCACGGCAGCCTACAGCCCCCATAATGCACCGCGCGCGGCTCGTTTCCGGTCCTGCGCCGTTTCTGGAGCGGATTGGAACCCGGAGTCAGGATTCGATAAATGAAGGGTCTTTTGCAGAAAAGGTAACGTGTTTCCCCGCTAATGTACTCGGCTTTTCTGCTAAACGGCGGCGCGGTTCGGTCGTGGAGCTGCAGCCCGTGTGTCCGGTGCTCTCCGCGGCTCTCCGGGCCGCCTCCTCGGCTCGCTGCTTGGCGCTGAAAAGCATCGACTCCGGTTTGGGGCTTTGCGTCTCCGGTCCATCCGCCATGCCGACTGTTCTTTGTTACAGTTTAGTGAAGAGAGCGGCTCAGATCGGAGTTAAAACCCGGCTAGAGTTTGGGAGCGACGCAAATCCTGGATCCCATCTCTAAGCGGACCGTTAATGTGTCAGTCCGACTGTAGCACGTTTACTAAAAGCAGCGGGAGCAGCCGGAGAGCTGGTGTGGAGCCGGAGGGCTGAAGCCTCCAGCTCTGCTCAGTGTGAGCAGGCGACAAGTTGAGCTGCACTCTGACACTCTGACAAGTAGTTCACTTCTATGAGGGTCCAGTTAAGTCCAGTGTGTTAAGTCCTGACTGCTGCTCAGCTGTTTGCTGCCAGAGGCCTCATTTAAAGTGTGTTCCTGTGTTTGCAGGTGGGCATAATGGCTGAACAGACACCAGATGAGTTCATCTGTGAGTATGAATCCAGCTCCGGCTGACTGTACCTGTGATGGGGTGACTGGACTGTGGTGACAGGTGTGCTGTGTGTCTCAGGGTGCGAGGACTGTGGCCAGTACCACGACTCTGAGTGTCCGGAGCTGGGGCCCCTGGTCACCGTGCACGACTCCTTCGTCCTCAGCAGAGCCCGGTGAGTGACACGACGGTGACTTCATCCAGCGACTGAACCAACTCCACCAAAGCGGCGCACATTCACTCCTCCCTGATACATACTGATACCTGCACAGGTGTTGTGTCATTAAAGCTGCTGTCTGGTCACTGATTTAACCTCTTAAACCTCATGTCTGTGATTCTACACAGTCCGCTTCTCCACCACTGACTGCAGCTCGAGCACACCAGCTCACCCACAGCTCTGCACTGTGGAACTACTTTGCACCGCACAATGGCCAGCTGTAGTATTGGAGTAGTTTAGGTTCAAAACGGAAACTAATTGTGAAGAAGAAGAATGATGCAGAAAGCTCCACCCTCTGAGCTGACTGGGTCGGTTCCTCGTTCTACAGGATCTGTTATTTGTACGCCTCCTATTTATGGTCTATACGAGATGCACTGGTGGCGTCGTGCTGCATCTCGAGTCGTCTGGTTCATGTGGATTGCCATTAGCTGTGCATTTCACGTGACTTCTGCTATATTTCTGCTTACGTTTTCAAACATCCTCTTCGCTGTGGGAAACGACAGCCGAAGTCTACAGGCAGCAGCTCACCACATAATAAACATTAAAAGTTTTTGTAAAAGTTTGCAGTCAGGCAGCCCTGCTGTTATCCACTGTACTGATGGTGCTCATCTCTCTGCATATGAATGGAAACAATTTCCCGTCATTTTCAGTGAACGCCATCTCAGCAGCGCTCACGATGATTGTGATTGAGTTGAAGAAATACAAACACACCCTCCTGTAGCAGAGTGATGATGAGGTTCTACACAGAAAATAATTTGGCTGTGTGAGGCTGTATTTCAAGAGCTGGGGTGTCGTGTTGTTGTTTCTGTAGAACAAGGCTGTCCTGGAGCGCTCAAAACTCCTGAGCTCACTGTTGTCAGTTTAAAATAAAAGCAGCTGCGTGGTTTATATGTCGCCTCAAATGATGTCAGAAACACAATTTGGTGAATCATTTCTGTAATATGGGCTGCACGGTGGCTCAGTGGTTAGCATCGTTGCCTCACAGCAAAAAGGTCGCCGGTTGGTTGCGCTGGATTAAATTAGCGATGTTCTTAAAGCTACACGTCATCCCAACTGAAGGTTTTCTAAATAACAAACAAGACAAGAGATCCACAGTTTTATTATGCCCTCACATTCATTACTGTAAAAGATCAAAAAATACTAAATTATTAAGGAATAAATTGCAATTATGGGCTGCAAGGTAGAGCAGTGGTTAGCACTGTTGCCTCGCAGCTAGAAGGTCGCCGGTTTGCGTCCCATGTTCTCCCCGTGCAGCGTGGGTTCTC